TACTGTTTCTTGCGGTTGTTTTTTGCGGTGGTGATGGGGTAGGTGATTGGGGAAATACTGGGCACAAGGTGTGACTTGAAATCCTGAATTGCGTTTTCAGAATGTCTGGATGTTTGTTGCCCTGAGCTATAACAATTTCCTATATTGAAGAATAGTTATTTTTTATTTTTGTGCCTGCGACGTCTTTATGCTGAACTGAAGTTTATTTTCTTATTTGCGGGTGTCGATAGGACGGTTTAAAATATGTTTGTTGTTTTTGGGCATGTAGGATGTCTGGTGACTGTGCTTTTTTGGGGGGGGAGTTTACATGAGGGGAATGGGGATTGAGCAGCGTGGGATATGTGGTGAGTGCCGCAGGCTTGTTGGTCCGCGATTTGGGTGCCCTCCAAAATTCATTACGTTTTGGGCTTCTCAACGAACACTTTTATTCTTTGTGGAATCATGTGCTATTACAAATGACACCCTGGACTGTTGTGTTTCGCCATCCTTTTTTTTTTTTTTACGGGATGTATGAGAGCCTTGCATGCTGCGGCGAGAACTGCATTTGTTACTGTGCCATTGGTCTCTTTTTTTTCTTTTGTTTTCATTCTTAGCCATTTTTTACTTTTGTTGCTTATTTTATTTCTGGTCATGTTGAGACTCCTGCGTGCTCCGTGCCTCCACTTCACTCACCAAATGGAGGTGCATGACCATTGCGCTGGAAGGAGTCTTTTTTTTTTTGTTCAAATTCACACAGAACCATCATTGGGCACATTTTTCTTTTATACTTCTTTTGTTTTCTTTCAGGAGATGCTTCCTTGGCTTTGCCTCCAACGGGATATGCGCGGAGTTACACGCGCATTTTAAAAACCGAAGCCAAAAGCCTTTTTTGGAAAGGATGCTTTATCTTTCTTCTAACATTAAATTTGTTGTCCATGTTGATGTTTTTTTTTTGGAGTGGACTTCATACTTCGTGACGATCCCGCGTATGGTTTTGGTGTTGGCCCGACCAGGGCGGAATATATCCACTGCGTCGGGGAAAGGCTTCTGGTGGATCCAACGACACGGTGGCTGGGGGGAAATAACGGGACGGAAGTTATCCCGTTGATGGTGGTCCCGCTGATGCTCGATCTGATGGACTTTCGGAGGATGATGTGCAACATCAATGTGCCAATCCGGCTGTTGGTTTTGGTGCAGAACGGGCGGGAGGCGATGCTGTCGTTTTGCCTGCAGGAACTCGAGAGGGTCTATGGGTGGTCCGGACGCCTGGTTTTGAGTAGTCATCCGGAAAACATCGGGTACAGCGCTGCCGTGAGCATTGGGCTCCGAATTGCACTCTCGCTGCCGCGCGAGGAAGTGCCTTTTGCTTTTGTGACAAACAGCGACGTAAAGTTTTCACCCGATCTTCTTCCCAACCTTCTACGCGATGTGCATGAAATGACGAGGCATGATGCCGCTTGCATGGATGAGTTGGCGGCGGAAGTGGCGAATAAGCCGAGCGAGTACAGTCCAGTTTTGCGACGGGGCTTGAGGGTGCTGCGCTCCACGGTGAAGGATAACCGATTGTCGACTTCTGCGCTGCCGCCTGACCGCATCCGTTATGCTTCTGTGAAGGAGCGTGAAAAGATGTTTTCGAAGTATTACGGGCACTTCTGCGCGTATTACAAAAGCAGTTGTTTTACATCTGTTATGTTGACACGCCTGGCGATCAGCACGGTGGGATATTTTGACGAGAACTTCTACCCAGCTTGCGTGGAGGATGTCGACTACAGCTTACGCCTCCGTTTGCTTGGATTTCAGGAGCGAAATGTCTTCTACGGCAAATTTGTGCATCGCGGCAGCTCGAGTATTCGTCTCTCTAATAAAGTGGAGCTACCGGACGCTCTCTGGTACCGTCGCGTCAGGTCTTTGAGTGCGAACGATGCATATGCCATGATGAAGTGGAACCGTCCACGGGCGTGCAGTGGCGGGTACAAGGGGCCATATGACGGCATGGTCCCTGCAGACGTTTGGGTGAAGGATGAGGCACGCATACAGCGCATTCGGGCCTACGGGCATGATGAGGAGCAAGGAGTCCCAAAGGTTGAGTACGACAGGAGCCTTTTGTACCCTTTCACGACGAAGGGAAGATGAACTGGCGCCAGTCGCATTTATTATTATTATTATTTTATTTTATTTTTCACTTTAATTATTAAAAGTTTTTTTTTTTTTATATTTACACAAATGATATTTAAGCGAGTACGCCATGGGTTTTAAAGAGCGCAAGCATATATTTGACATGACAGGGGGAGGGCGCAGCGTCCAAACTTGGCCGTGTTGCTGAAGGTGGGAGAGGGCGGCAGCAAGCAGTAAAAATAAAGATGATGAATGAGGGAGAAATAAAAGGGGAGGGAAGCAGAAAACAAGTCAAAAATATTATGAGCACAACGCTGCTTCTTACCGTGGGCGATCGTCACCGCAATTGGCTACTAAGTTACTCACTGAAGGCGACACCCGTTTCCGCTGAATATGCTGCGTGCATATCTGTCGGGCTCTTTGTTTATTCTGTTGGTTTGTTTGTCTCCCGCACATTTATTTCTCCGTGCCGCCTGACTCATTCGTTTATCATTCCCTCTCTGTTTTTGTGCGTGCATCGAGAGAAGGGCTCGGGGACATGAAGTACGCTCCCCTTCCGTGACATGCCACCAAAAACAGGAGGAGAAAAAAAAGAAAAGTGAAGCGGGGAGGGGAACCATCGCCACGCGTCCTTTTCTCCGAGAAGGCTGCTCGTCACGCCACTGAGGCGCGCCGTGTGCTTCGCGAGGTTCGCTGGACTCGATTGGGGTGCCGTGAATGATGGTGCGTGTGAGTGTGGCGGATGCGTCTCTCAGGCGTCCCTAGAGGACCCTCTGGCCATTGGGACTGCGTGGAATGCGGGATTCTGCGGGGATATTTGCCCGTTTTGTTTTTATTCCTCCATCCGCCCATCCCAAACCTCAACACGGCGGCTGAGCCAACGACTGCGACGGGATCCGTTGCGTATTTCCGAATCTCTTTTGCGTTGCAGCGGCAGGCCTGGTGTGTCCTGCTTGGCAGACACGGTGGACGGGAGTGGGCTACCTTATCGGGAAAGCGATGGTCACGGCGGAGCGTGTTGCGTACTTCGCAATTTGGCGTGTTTGTGGCGATCCTTGCAGACGGTGTGACGGCGCCTCTTTTACTTGCGGGGAGAGAAGCGATGCTCCACGGTGGTGCACACGTTGCGTGTGGAGGCTTCTCTTGCTGTTGGTTTGTGAATGTTTATTTTTTGCTTTTGCTTGAACACCACAGAAGGCGGTGTCTGCGGACAGCAGAGCATTGCGAGGAGGGGCATCGCACGATTTTTGGCGCGATGAGGCGGCTTTTGTGAATCTACGGTGTTTATTTTCAGGGTTGAGAGACTATTCTTTGTTGGAATGTATTGTGGGAGACCATCCGCGTGTTTGTTTTTTTTAGTTAATCCCTTGGCATTTGGTGTCTGCCATGAAACAGATTGTGATGGCTGTTTTGTGGCAGCGAGATGCATTTTTATTTTTATTTTATTGGCGAGTGTGTGAATTGTGTTGCGTTCTGTTGTGCGGCTTGTTGCTGACGGCAATTGGCCGCAGTGAGACGTTGTGGGCGCCTCCGACACGAGGTGCGATTGAGCAGTCATCTCCTCCGCTCGCCTGTACACGCTGTTGAGGCGGCGTGATGGTAATGAATCGGCCTCTCAGAAAAGCAACAGGAGGGCGTTTGCTGTTCCTGCTGCGGTGTTTGAGTGAACTCCCAATCTGTGGGCGGGGTTGCCCTGTGTGCCGTATTTCTTTGAATCTTGATGAGTTTTGCACATGGCCATCCACACGCACATGCACACAATCTCCCTGTTTGCCCTCCTGTGGGCGGGAGACCGGGATGCAAAGGGAAGAATGTGGCCCGTGCCAGCATGTGACAAAGTCTTTCTTGGGAGGGATTGCGACTGTGATGTACGTCCTGGCAGGCAGGAATGGAATGAGAGGGGAGCCGAGGGGCAAGTAACAACGATTCTGTGCGGGGCAATGCGCAGTGACCAGGGCGAAGTGGTATTTATGTTGACTTTTTAAAGCATTTTTGTCTTTTTCTTTTGTGGCAATGGAAAGAAACTTTGGGTGATGAGTTGTGGATTATTTGCACATAATTCAGAGCGGCAACACCATTTGCGGAGAAAATGAATGACATCTGCGTGCGGCTTGCTTTGTGAGCGCGAGATGGTCGGGGAGGCGTTCAACGCCCCGAGAGGCCAGGAGCAAAGAGGCCTGCACTGCTGCAAGCAGAGGGATGCACGCTCCTGTTGGTGGTGTTGCTGTGGAGCCCTGAATGGCCTGCAGGGAAGTTGTTTTTCCCGCCTCATTATTTTGTTGATTGGTGCTTGCCGCGGACTTTTGAGGCGGGACGTGGGATGCACCGAGAGAGCGAGAGTCGTGTGACTGTGCTGTGAATTGGTGCGGTCCACGCTTGTGCACATAATTCCGTTTTTGTCCGCGTCCTTGCTGCGGCGGTGCACCGGGAGCGTGTGACTGATCACTTTATCACCTGCAGACTGTTTCGGCAGGACTTTGAATGGCGTCGCCGAATGATGAAATTCCGCGTCCATGTATGTGTTGGCTTCCGCCGTGACTTGCCGTTTTGCTGCTCTTTTCTGTGGGCGATGATTCTCCGTGCCGCCCCTTCCGGATTGTCTCTTGAGTCCCGCTCTCTGCGTGGGTGCTCTGCTCTGCTCCCCACTGACGTGTCTGGTGTATTGCCGCTGTTGCTGCTGTACTCTCCACTTCTTGAACACATACACACGCTAGGAAAACAAGCGCTACTCGCTACTGTGAAATTCGAAGGCACTGAAAGGAACAACAGCACAAACACACACACATATTTATATACTCTCAATTGCTGCTGCAGTGAAGGCACCCCGCACACACAACCGTCGCCGTGTGACCGGATCCAGCGGGAGGAGGAGGGAAGGAAGAGAGAGTGAGCAGCAGAGGTCAAAAATGTCCCGGCATGTGTTTAATTCCACGGCGCTGCTTCTCCTCGTCGTGATGATATGCTGCGGCATTGGAGGTGCACACGCTGAGCAGGCAGGGGCCGCTGTTGATCCTTTTACAGGGACGCCGTCGGTATCATTTGGTAATTGGAAGGAGTTTAAGGAGGCCGGAAGCAAAATCACCTCGCTCCGTGTTCCTGGCCTTGTTAAAGTGGGTGATGATGTATTTGCCGTTGCTGAAGCGCAGTGCGGGGAAAGGAATGGAGCCGGCAGCTGTGCTGGGATTGTGTCAAAGCACCTGGATATAAGGGGTGACTCAATGGATATTTCGACGTCGGATATAAGTTTGTTTTGCATGCAACTTGTGGACACTGCCGAGAATAATTTTGGGACAACGGAAGTGTTGCGACCAACGACGCTTGTGCTTGGGGGCAGTGTTTACTTGCTCCTGGGAAACTACAGCCATAAGAAGCCGCAGGTTGAAGGTACGAATGAGCGGGGCCTTTTACTCGTGAAGGGAACTGTCACGGTGGATGGTGGAAACAACAAGAAACTTTTGTGGAATGAGACCTATTTGGTGAACCCTCAAGCCATAGGGTATTCTGGTTCCTTGACCGAGTTTTTGGGTGGTGGAGGATCGGGTGCTGTGATGCGTGACGGCACGCTTGTGTTTCCCATGCAGGCCAAAGACAAGGATGGAACCAGCGTTTTGCTGTCTATGCGTCTCCCCAAGCAAAGGAACAAATGGGAGCTTTCATCCTATGTGACTGGTAAGGGCTGCAGGGATCCAACCCTGGTGAAGTGGGAAGAAGGAAAAGACGACGAAAGACTCTTCATGATGGCTCATTGTGCTGGAGGCTACTATGACGTTTACATGTCCACTGGGAGTGGGGTGGATTGGTATACGTTGGGTGAGCCAATTAACCGCGTGTGGGGCAACTCACGTAATCGAAAGGGGTACGGCGTCCAGAGTGGATCCACCACCGCAATCATTGAGGAAAAGGAGGTGATGCTCATCACCGCGCCGGTGTATCCGAAGGAGGAAAATGAAGGTGGAAATGGTCGGCTCCATCTTTGGGTGACGGACAATGCACGTGTGTATGATGTTGGGCCGGTATCCCGTGGAGATGATGACGCCGCCGCCAGCTCGCTGTTGATGAAAGATAATAATAAGGAGTTGATCTCAGTGTACGAGAAAAAGAAGAATGACGGAGCATACAATCTTGTTGCTGTGCGTCTGACCGAGAAACTGGAGCGGATAAAGGAAGTGGTGAAGACATGGAAGGATTTGGACGGCGCCTTGCAATCATGCAGTTTTCCTGCCGGGGATGAATCGGAGGCAAAAAAAGATATGTGCAATGGTCGTGTTCCCACCAAAGGGCTTGTTGGCTTTTTGTCCGGTAACTTCTCTGAGAACACATGGAGAGACGAGTACCTCGGCGTGAATGCAACAGTGACGAATGGAGTGAGAAGGGTTCCCAATGGATTGACTTTCAAAGGGTCTGGAGCAGGGGCGGTGTGGCCTGTTGGCGACATGGGGCAGACTGTGCCTTACTACTTTGCGAACAACAAGTTCACTCTTGTGGCGACGGTGTCCATCCACGAGGTGCCGAAGGAAGGCAGCAGACCCATTCCTTTGATTGGCGTGAGGATGAATGACACCAAAAGCACAGTGCTCTTTGGTCTGTCGTACACCCACGAAAAGAAGTGGTTGGCCATACCGGGGAATCGTGCTACTTCGAAGCGTGTTGATAATATTGTTAAATGGGAACCAAACGAGACGTATCAGGTGGTACTGCAAATGGATTATGAAGAATGGACTGCCATTGTAGATAAAAAGAAAATCCACAACAAGAGATATAAAAAGAGTCTGTTCAACTCGCACAGGATTTCACACTTCTACATCGGTGGGGACAGTAAGGACGAAAGTGCAACGGGCGGCCATGTGACGGTGACCAACGTCATGTTGTACAACGAGGAACTGTGGGGAAATGATCTGGATGAACTCAAAGCCAGCAAAGTCACTATTCCATCACTGGGTGCTGAGGAACAGCCCACAGGACAGGTGACCGGCACAGAAATCTCAGTTGCTCCCGAGTCAAACATTAAAGAAAGCGCCGCCAGCCATGGGGAATTGACAGAGGGTGATACTGATAAACAGGGGGAAAACAGCTTCCATAATCCAGTGCTTGCAGCGCTCCTTTCAACGTTTGCCGGGGGATCATCTGTTTCCGAACCTGCCACCGCAGCGGAGAGCGAAGAGAATTCTCGTTCAGATGACAATGCCCAGCTTTCCAAAGGCGAAACGGCCCAGCAAGCCACGCTGAATGAAGACAATAATTCGATGCAACGGGATTCGGAGGTGCAGCCACAAGACCTACAGTCAGCGGAATTAACGGAGGTTACCGATGTTGAAATGTACTCTGGAAGTTATGATGAAGAAATACCAGAGGAGGAGGAAGAAGCGGATGACAGGAGTGGCGGATCAACGTCTTCAGTGGGTGCAACATCGGATATGGATACGGCCACCGAAACAGTTGACAGTGAGCACCAAGTGCAACAAAGCACTGAGCCTGCCACTGAAGGCGACGACGTGCGGTCCACTGGAACCGGAACCACCGGCGCGGAGCAAAGCCTCAGCCTCGAGGCGGGGGACGGAAATTCCGAGAGAACAATGGGCTCAGACAGCAGCCTCACTCCTTCAAGGACTGACGCCGAACCGACATCCGCGGAGGACACCGACGACGTCTCTCGGACTGAAGGAAGCGAATTTTATTTTGAAGACGGCAAGGAGGTGCCACAGACGGTCGACACCAAACCGGAGAATACAAACACCACGCCTGGAGGCGAAGGGACCCCCTTAACAAAAGGCGCGGCACGACACTCGGACAACGACACCTTCACCGGGGAAATTGCGGAGCTGCTGTCCATGGGTCTAAACCGTGACAGCACCGTGCATGTGTGTGTGTCTCGGGTGTTGTTGCTGCTTCTTCTGCTGGGGCTGTGGGGCACTGTGGCTCTTTGAGGAGTGATTGGCTGCCGCGTGGGACACTTGCGCCCTCCCCTTCACCAACACACACACACACACCGCTAGGAATAAATTTTACTACGCAGAGAACAATTTCTTTTCTTTTTTTAAATTGTTTTCTTATCTTGCTTGTTGCCTCGGGGCAATCACTATGGATTTTTTTTTTTGCTTTTGTTTATTGTTTGTTGCTGCACTCTTCCTGTGAGGGGTGCCATGTGTTTCCCGCCCAACTGCTCCACTCGCACACCCACCGACACGCTCACGACGACGGCCCTGTGCGCCTCGCCTGCTGCACGCATGAGGAGGGGCCGCGACGAACGGCGCGCTGAGGGGCCGTGACGTGTGGGCGTGCGACGAGTGCCGGTGGGGCGGAGCACACATTTCTTTCCCTCTTGTTTTGTTTTCTTTTTTGCGGCCAGGGCGGGCAGACACCCGCAGCGCCACACACACACAGCCACACCCTGCCGCCGTGTTTTTAAGATTTTTTGTTTTGCTTTGCGTGTTCATTTCACGCGCTGGCAGTGCCGTCAGCATTTCTTTTCCCCGTGATGATTTTTCTTCTTTTGCTGCGCTCACTCTCCCGATGGAGAGACGCGACTCCCGTCATGTCTGCGTGCTTCTCTCAGTCCCCGCACACAAGAGCGACTGTGCTCTGCGGGCCGCACTCGCACGCCGATGAAAGGGCTGAGGGGAGTAGCAACACGCAGATGACCCCATGAAATATAAACGTTGTGCGGACAAATGGAGGGTCAGACGGTTGAAAGGCATTTAGATATTTAATTTTATTTTTGGAAAATATATGCAGACAATTTCTCGAGCAGCATGGTAGTTAGGTGCACCTTTTTGTGTGGTTTTTTTTTCTTTTTTTTTTATTTGGGTGTAGCTGTAATAGAGGACGACCTTTTTTTTTTTTCTTTTTTTTCTTTTTTTTCTCTTTTTTTCAAAGTGTGAGGTGCGGAAGGGTGAAGATGAATTTTTTTAAAATTTTAATAAAATTTTTTATGAATTGCCGCTGCTTTGTCTGCAGTGCAATATCATGGGCTTGAGCAGTCTTTTTCCCCTTATTTCTGCCATGCACCTCTGCTGTACAGTTTTGTTTGTGCGCCCCTTCACATGCTCCGCTCCTGTTTTTACTTCTTTGCCTCGTGTGTCTGCAGGCACACACAACCACATGCACGCACAAAATGCACATTGCACTGGATTTTGATGCTTCTTTTGTAGCGTGTGCTGGCGGCTGCGGGTGGCTGCTGCTCCCTCCGTGGGCATGAAGGGAAGGGAGGAGAGGGAGTGCTCACCGCGAGTCACTCTTCCTGCGGATGTGATGCGCGCGGTGGTCTGTGACGGCTGTGGAGGGCTGCATCCTTTCGATGTGCGCTTCTCCGCCGTTGTGCCGTGCGTTTGCGCATGTCATTTGTTATGCGCGTGCGTGCTGGGCATGTTTTGCTGGAGCGTTGGGCGGCCACCATCTGTCTATGGCGGTTTGTGTGAGTGAGCACGTGCGGATGAGGGTCAGGGCGTATGGAATGAAGGAATGGCTTGGGGAAAGGGGAATTTGATTTGGATGGTATTTGGACCGGATTCATTTGGCCGCGGTGGACACATGCACGACGGATGTGTTTCCGCATAATGGGGGAGGATGCGACAGGGTTTTCCGAAGTGGCCCGTCAATGCAATTCGGGTTTTATAGCACTGGGGCACAGTGGTCTTCCTGCAATGGCTGGTGACGGCCCCTAGTGGACCGGTTTATTTATGCTGCTGCTGCTGCTCGAGGAGGCGTAGAAGTGCAATTTGAGGTGAGCGGCGGAAGGGCCACACATCCCGCAGTGATGGTCGTCGTTGGCCCACCGGGTGCCTCTGAAGGTTTTGTTGGATGCAACGTCCTTATGCCCGTCTCCG